ATTATGACCAATAACAGTAGCAAAATTACAGTTATGAAGTAGCAATGAAGTAATTTTATAGTTGGGGGTCACCACAGCAGGAGGAACTGGATTAAAGGGTTGCAGGTTAGGAAGGCTGAGAAGCACTGTTAGGAACTCTCAATGCCTGCTTCTGACTGATGCACTTCCTCCAGCAAGGCTACACCTCTCACAATCTCCCTGACTGGAGACCAAGTGTTCAAACCTGTGAACCTATGGGGGACACTTCTCACTTAGAGTATCACGGCGCAGCTGTTGCCATTCAGGCATCACACTTTGCTACACGGCCTCATACTCACAAGTAATTTATTGGCAACACAAACCAGACTCAGTAGTTATTCAAAAATTGAAAAGGAAAAAAAGAGGACATAAAATTGGGAGGGGGTGGGAAGTGGATTGTGAATTTGGGAGGATCTTGAGGGAAGAGTGGGGGTGAAAATTATCTAAATACAATTGTAAGAAATTCCTAAAGAATTAATAAAAACATATTTTAAAAACTGGGCAAAAAGCCGAGCAGTGGTGGCACGCGCCTTTAATCCCAGCATTCAGGAGGTGGAGGCAGACGGATCTCTCTGAGTTCAAGACCAGCCTGGTCTACAAGAGTTAGTTTCAGGACAGGATCCAAAAGCTACAGAGAAACACTGTCTAGAAAAACCAAGAAACAAACAAAAAAAGAAAGAAAGAAAGAAAGAAAGAAAGAAAGAAAGAAAGAAAGAAAACATGGTTCATCAAAGAAAACACACAGAGGGCAAGCAAGTATATGTGAAGATGATGAACACTAGAGGTCATTAATATAAATTAAAACAATGTTAAAACACACAACCATTTCCATGGCTAAGACCCAAATGCTGACACTATCAAATACTAGTGAGGCTGTGTAGCAGCAGAAAACCATTTGTTGTCAGTGGAAGACAAGACCACACATATTGGAAGACAGTTTACCAACTTCATACAAAAACATACCTTAACCACTGGCTCTAGTGACTGTCAGCCTTTGTAGTTCCCTAAGGGACTTGTAAACCTACACACGTGTTTGTTTATTTGTGATTGCCAAAACAAGGCAGCACCTAAGATGCTCTTCAATAAGTGATTAAGTGTCACATATAAAATGGAATTTTACTTTGGCAATAAAGGAAGGACACTGTGTATTGAAAAGAAGTCAGTCTGGAAATGCCACACACTATGTTCTTACTACATAAATATCCGGAGAGGCAAAGCTACAGATAGGACAAAGGTGAGCACTTGGCAAAGGGCTCAGAAACAGGAGTGAGTAGGTGGGACATGGGATTTACAGGGCAAAATATTTCCTCTGCACAACGCTGGTGATACATGTCATTTATACACTTGTCAAACCTCAAAGCATTGAGTTAAACAAAGTGTGGACTTTGATGTAAATTATGGACTTTGGTAAATAACAATGTGTCAATATTAGCTAATCAATATACCACATACCACATACCACACAAAACCCAGGTGGTGCTCACCTTTAATCCCATCAGCACTAAAGAGGCAGAGGCAGGCAGATCTGAGACTGATGCCACCCTTGTCTATAGAGTGAGTTCTAGGACAGCCAGAGAAACTCTGTCTTGAGAAAACCAAAACAAACAAAGGGAAAACAGAAAAACACAACAACAACAAAACCTAAAACCAAACAAAGAACAAAGCCCCAGATATACCACACTAAGGGTGCTAACAACTAGGTGGACAGCCATACAGCTATGTGCGGTGCATTCTGTAAACTCCAACCTGCTCAAATGTCTGTGATGAAAAACTTAAGCGGGGGAGAGATAAGTAGAACCTCAGGACCAATAGCAGTCAGGGTACCACAGAGACGAAAATGAGTCAGAAGAAAACAATTTAAAGAAATACTAAATGGAAACTCTACATTTGGTAAAATTCAAATTTATAGGTTCAAATTTAGGGAAGCCCAAATAGAATATACATTTTACATACGCCTTGCTACCACAGCCTGGCTGTGTAACTGTGAAACTTTTGAAATCCCAACACAAGGAATTTTTAAGATGTATTTTTATTTTTAGGTATGTATGTATGTACGTATGTATGATGGGGAACAGTGCCCATGGAAGCCGGAAGGGGGCAGTGGGCTGAGCTGGAGTTCCAGCAGTTAAAAGTCACCTGACCGGGGTGCCAGAACCAAAATCCAGGTTCTCTGCCTGAGCAGTACATACTCTTTAACCACTGAGCCATCTCTCCAGGTCCCACAACAAAGGAATTTTAAACATCTGTTGGGGTGGGGGTGGGGTGTTGATACCTTATGTACATGGAACATGGAATGATCACAGATGACCCCAAAGAAACAATAGAGGCTAAGTTCATGTTTCTTCGCAGGTCCCTTTCATTGCTAATCTTCCCCATTTTCCACCATCCAAAAGAATACTCGTGAAGTACTAGTAGTGGGATAAATGATCTCAACAAAAAAGAATGTCTGTGGGAAAATAAAAACAAACCCACAGACTTCCCTTTCGCCTGTATTACTTACTGCTCCTTACCCGGTGATCCCAGACTAGAAAGGTCAGCCTAATTGTATTAGTTCAACTATTTAAAAAATAACATGGGAGGTGTAGCTACAAAGATGAAACCTTACAGGGTTATTTCATAAGCCATTCTAACACCAAGCCAATATGTGGATATTTAAAGGTCTAAAAAAACTTCAATATCAAATTAGAATCTAAAATGCTCTGAGAAATCAGATGCTAAAAACTTCTAAAAGACAACAATAACAAACAAAAAACCCCCCAGACAGGAAAGAGATATTAATCCAAAGAACATGGATTCAGAATCCAGGGGAAAACATGAACTGTGTCCACTCGTATGTGAACTTTGCTACATAAGTTCTCATTTGGTGGGAGCAACTATCAAAGCCCAGGAAAACTGCCAGTCAGCCATTTCTTTCAAGAGGAAGTTGGCAGCCCTGCCTGGCTTGTCTGAGAGGTTCTGAACCTTCCCAACAAAGATAAGGAGAGTAAGACTTGTCGGTGAAACTTCTTGCCAAACAGTAAGGTGGTATTAGCAATGTTTCCCAACCTGTGGGCTTGGGTTGCCCCTGCTTGGTCCAACAACCCTTTCACAAGGGTTGCTTAAGATCATTGGAAAACACAGATATTTATTTACATTATGATTTATAACAGTAGCAATTACAGTTATGAAGCAGCAAAGAAGATAATTTTATGGTTGGGGATCTTGTTGTTTTCATTAACATTTCGAAGGAATCTGTAAGATCGGAGAAGCGTGGCAACCCTGATACACCGCATTTTTCCCAGAAGACGCACAGTTCACTTGGTTCAGTCACGTGCCTCTTAGGCTCGTTGGACTTCCAGATCTCACTAATCAGTGCCTGTCCCCATCTCCCCTCACAAATTTCACAGGTATCAAAAGCTTTCACTTAAACCCTCAATCGTTCCAAGTCTTTCTTCCCCAGTTTCCCCCCATAAAGTGCACCAAGAAGTTCCACAAGACCGAACTTGTCATTTGGCATTCCCTTTACATTTCCCCACTGTAATGGTCTGTTCTGACGCCCCCTCCACCGCTGAGTCAGGCACATCTTCCTTTCTGCTTGCAGCCCGAGCCAGTCCCTTTCTGTCTGTCTGTCTCTCTCTCTCTCTCCCAAAGAGGTAGCTGCTGTGTGGCTCCTCCTCATAATCCCTTCCCCTTCTCTCCCATAATCCACTAAATAAATATCCAACCGCACTCTGCATGGTGTGCCTATCTGTCTTGGTCTCTCACCTGCCATGGCTCCCTGCCTCTGGGAATTGGGACTCGTTGCCCCTTGTGGCCCCACCATTCGGGGAATGGTGTCACCGCTAATTTTACCATTACATCCACCACAGCCTATCGATGGCCACCTTACTGTCAAACTCACGCCCTAAGTTCCTTATTTTAAAGGCAGTGCCAGAGCCAAGAGGAAATCAAGACAGAGTAGAGACCAGACGGTGCCCTCCCCGTTTGAAATGCTTGCATTGCCTTCCCCTGGGGTTATGATATCGCCTACACAGTCCACTTTGTATTTGTACCACCAAATAGGTCTTTAGATCACGTGAGGTCTTCTCCTGCTTCAGGGATTTAATATGTATTCTTTCAGCCTCATAGTCAACAGAGACTTGTGTCTTTAAGTTAAAATTCTGTTTCCTGTTGAGCTGCTATGAAAAAGGAGCGTGAAATTTCTTAAAACAATAACAACCCTGCAGTTAGGTACTGAGGGCCTGCACTTTTCTGCAGTCGCTCACACTAAAGGAATGGAAGAAAAAAAAGGAGTGAGGCGGAGTTTCAAACAAGCCACTGCCAATTATTTTGAGGGATCAGGGCACCCCAGTGGAGGTTCCCTGAAGCCTCTTGGGGAGTATTATCTTCCCCACACACCGTGGCTGAGACCAGGCCTCTGCGCTTCAGTGCACACCCGCTCTGCCCCAGACCACCTCGTTGGTGCTTCTGGCACCACCGCGTTTTCCTTCAGAGTTGAGTAAGTAAGGAAGAAATCACTTTCGCGCCAGTGACCTCCAAGGTCAGGAGCAGAGCCAATCCTGGTCTCCAATCTGTCCGCTGGAAACTGCACCGCTGTCGCCCGTGCCTCCTATGGAGTTTCCTCCTCAAAGCAAACAATGTCTATCCCGACCCCAACCCGGGGAAATGACCTGCACCCGCCACCTCGGCTTGCCCCCAGAGCCCAGAAGCCGAAGCCCGGCCAGGGGTCACCAAGCGCGCTGGCTCACCTCGTAGCAGCGCCATGGTGAAGCTCGCTTACTCCGTGGGGCTGTGTCGGCAACACTCGGCCACCCGCCCTAGCCCAGCCTTAAGAGTATGGGCGGCGCTCCGCGAGGCCGCACCCCTGCCCTTTCCCCTACATTGCCCCCCCCATCCCCGCTGCCAGGGTCAAGGTTACCCTAATCCATACCACGTGTGCCCCGCGCCCCTCCCCTGGGAACCAGGGATGACCTCGGCCACACAGTCCTATTATCTGTCCCATCCCCGGCTTCTAGAAACTCTGCCCGCTCTGTCCATCTCCAGGCTGGGGCACCGCGGTACAGGACTGGCGGCAAGATCCAGCCCCGCCCCACCCAAGCTTGAGTGGGCGGGGCCAATGGGCAGGGGCGGGGCTGGCGGCGGCGCGGTGAGAGTGGCTGCCCCTGCGCCTGCGCAGTCTCATGGCCGAGGCCTGGGCTGCTCTTAGGGTTTCTGCAGCCGGTAGCTGGGGCGCCTGGAGAAGGGAAAGGGAATGCCGTAGAGTAGGGCGCGCCTGGGACCCCGACTCAGCCCCAAGTGAGCCCGAGGTATTTTCCTTATATGATCAGGCCTCCCGTGGCCGGCGCTGCCGGTCCGGAGCCTGAGAGGATTATGAAAACGTGGCAGGTGATGGGGCCCGGGGACCTGGCGCGGGGAGCTGAGGGGTGAGGGACCGAGGGGGAGGTGAGGCTGGGTGGGGGGCGCAGGTTTAGGGATGCCCACGCCGCCTGCTCTGGGCCCTGCCGATGATGACGTGACCACTGCGCAATCTGAGTTCTGGGAACCAGGTGATGGAGTGTGCTGCGAACACTGAGGCCAGGCGAGCAGGAGGCGGCCTGGGCAGAGCGGGGAGGTCGGGAGCGCTGGGTCCCGCGGCGCCGAGCCAACGGGACTGTCGGTGGCAACGGGGCGGGGCGTGGGTGGCGCTGTTGACTTGTATTAACTCCTCAGCCACAGCCCGCTCCAGTTAAGCTTTGTGTGTGTTGTTTGGCCCGCTCCCTTGGAGTGGGGGACTGCATTTTTAATCTAAAATTTCTCTCTCTCCCTCCCCCTTCCCCTCCCCTTTCCTCCCCCCCTTCCCCTCCTCCCTTCCTTCTCCCTCCCTCCCCTCCCTCCTCCTCTCCCTCCCTTCCCCCGCCCCCGTTTTTTGAGACAGTGTTTCCTGCTTTCCGGAACTCGCCCTGTAGCCGAGGCTAGCCTCAAACGATGAGATCCGCACGGCTTTAACCTAATCGTTTTTCGTGAAAACTTTCAGGAATTACAGAAATGTGAAAAGGTCCGTGCAGAGAACCTGCTGTTTGCCATTTCACATCTGCGCATTAAAACCTTGTTTTTAAAAGATTGACGTTGGCTTCACCCTGCGAACACTTCAGCACACGTTATTTACAGTTCTCTTAGGAGTTTTCATGAAGCCATTCGCATACACACACATGCTCTCTCACGCGTTCCTCTTATTTCAAGTCACCACCAAGAGGGACTTCCAGGTTTACTATTGAATGTAATTATAAATGACCTGAATGGGCCCCGATAAAATCAGAGTGAAAAGTAAGCGTATACTCAAACAGGTGTGTGTATAACTGCAGTTCCAGGATCAGAAAAGGAACTGAGGCGTTCCCTTAACCAGATGATCAAACTTAGAATCCCCAATAGAGACTGTGGACTCCCTTGCTGTGAGGAGGACATAACTCACTTATTTATGTAGGGTTCCTCCCCGGAATCACCTGAACCTAATCACAGCAAGACAAGCCCAAACTTCATCGGTATGTAGGAGATTGGCGTTTGGAGGGTTTTGTTTTGTTTGTAGTTATGCACAGAAATGTTTAGTTGCAACAATCTGCACCAAAAGTCATGAAGCAAGATGCATAGAAATGGTAGCGAGCAGGAAAACAAATGACAAAAATGTCACCAAGGAGTGGAAAAGTGTGTTCTACTCTGTTCTGTCTTCCCATGTCTTCTGGAGCCTTAACATTCTTCACAAAAGGAGTATTCTTCACCTAGGCTACAAAATTATGTAGAAGTATCTCTAAGATAGTTAAATAGAGTACACTCCTGTAACACTATGCCTTTCAAAATAAACTGGTCTAGACAAGAGATAGCGTTATTTATTACTGGTCTAGACACGAGATAGCATTATTCCGTTCTTATATGCTTAGCCTCCAATGTTTTTCGAAATGCAGTGTTATCTTTCTGTAGTTAATTTTGGAGGGAAAGATGTAGTGTTAACATAAAATTGGAAATTAGTGAGTCCATTGTAAATCTGTAAATTCTACTGTCAAGATTATCCGAGATCTGAGAACTGTCTAACTTCAGTCCTTTCTCTCACTCTTTCTGAATCACTTTTCCTATAATCAACGTTGACAGAAGTTGCAGTACTGGCAGCCGAGGAGAGCAAGCAAAGTCCTTGGGAGCTGCAATAGTTTTTAACGTGTGTGTGGTACATGCCTGTAATCACAGCACTTGAGAGGCCATTCGTGTCGGCACGGACTACACAAGACCCTGTGTCGTCCCCACTCCCCACCCCCACATAGTGACGGTACAAGTGGAAAGCTGTGCACATGCACACAGTTAGTCTGCCTTGGTGAGAACTTCGGTTATTAGGCCAATATTAGCTTGGCTCCGGTTTTTACTTACAGCAAATATTCGCTCTCTACGAAGTTCAAGCTGCCAAACAAGGATAAAGAAATAAATTATAGTCATGAAGTGGTAGACATGGATTTGAGAGCTTGCTTATCATAAGTTTACCCTGTCTTGATGTGCTCCAGTAGCCGTGAGGCACTGTCTTAGACTTAATTTCTTCTCTGTTTGCAAGCCATTTGCAAATTCCAACAAGCCTTTAATAAGATGTCATGTAGCAATACAGCTTAAAGCAAATCTTGGCACATCTTTGAGTACACGGTCACCCTGGAAAGCAGTGATATTGGTGGAGGAAGACAACATTGTTTGGATGTCATTCAGACAGATAGGTTCTGAGAAACATTTGTAGTTAATATTCATACAAGGAGGGAAAGTGCACACCAAGGGCATGCCTCAAGGAATTGATTGTATCTCAGCAAGAAGATGCTAGGGTTTTGGTGTTTGGTTAGGGTCCAAAGAAGTAGGAGCTCCTGTCTGGAAGCGGGGGGGGGGGGGGGGGGGCG